TTATTTTGTGTATTATTTATTTTTAGCTGCTTTTCGTTTTATAATCAAAGTTATATTTAGTCATGTTTATTTTTTGTGAAATTTTTCTCTTTTTTTTTTCTACTCATAGTTCGTTAAAAATGAGCGAAAAATAATATTTTTCCTTACTTTTACTATATATACTATTTGAATCTGATTTTGTATAATATTTTTTTATTTTTTAGTTTTCTTTAAAGTGTTAAAAACATAAAAAAAATTCACTAAGCTCTTTAGCTTTGTATATTCAGTGCTTGAAGCGTGCACGAAATGCGCTTTAAGTCCTTAGGGTGCAGTAAATTGATTTATTAATTCAATGTTTATATTAAAGCATTTTCACATCAGACTCAAGAATATAAATTAATTAGGCCGGAAAAAATATATATACACATATATATCGTTAAAAGTTGATATTAAAAATAGTTTGGCACAAAAGAGAAATTACGCTAAATATTTATTTTGTAATTTATGGCAAAAGCATTAAAGAGAGAAAGAAACAGGTTTGCTGCATTCCCAGTTGCCCCGCAGTTCCCAGTTAATTAAATCGAAATGCAAAATTTTTTTGATAGCGAAAAGCTGATGAAATGCAATTGCCTGCAGTGAATAGTAAATATTTGATTATCATTTGTGTAAATTGTTTTTATTGGTGCGATGAGCAGCGCAGAATAGCAAAAGGCAGATGGACTGAATCTGATATGAGTGAGTGTGGGTGTGGCTGTGTGTATGTATCTTGTTATAGAGTATGGGGTCTTTGCACAGATTGGGGGTACGAGTAGAACATGCATTTGGGGCCAAGACAAATAAAAAATCAGACCTTGTTATTCTTTGTTTATGTGTTTTTCTTTGTGGGTTATGCGTTGGTGTGTGTGTGTATGTGTGTATTTGTCTTTTGAATGTGTGCAAACAGAAATGGTAATAGGTTTCACTGTATTGGAATTATTTCATAACAACTGTTGACGGCAAAATCTTCAAACACGAACTCTCAGCCATCATCATGAATGCAAAACGAATAAAATGATTTGGCAAAATGAAAAAGAAAGAAAGAAAGAGAAAGAAAAGGAAATACGGCTTGTGGCCGCAACTCACCGAGATTCTCCACAGATGCGTTGATATCGCGTATGGTGCGCGTGTACCTGGTAGAGGCACGCGAGGAGCCGGGCGGCTTGGACAGACTGGAACCATCCGGACCGGGTGCCTGTATGGTTTGGCTCTTGTGGCGCCTTATTGTCGGCAAGCGGGCGACAAAGGATGTATTGTGCTTAAAGCTGGATGAGGCCCGTCTGTGTACAACGAAATATATCAATAAATATTAATGTAAACGATAAAAGGTGTAACTAGCAGAGAGAGAGAGACAGAGAGAGATAGATATTGAAAAAGTTTTTCAATAAGACGGGGGATAAAGTTCAGCGTATTATATAGAGCTAGAAGATAGTTGCAATAGGTTTGTGTGTGTGTGTGGGGGTAAGTGTGTGTATTGTATTTTAAGTGTGTGTGCTATAGGTGCTAGCCTGAAGTTGTGACAAATACAGGTGGCGAGCGCGGCGCAATGACAACAGCTGAAAGTCTACATTGAGCTTTAGATAAAGCTTGATAGGGCATCTAAAAAAAGCTAAAATTAGCTGAAAGCAGCTAAGCTGATAAACTAAATTGAGACTTTAATGCTTTTAAGGGTGCTCTAAATACTATTTGGCAATAGGTAGTTTTTCTGAAGCTTAACGGTCGATCAAAGTAATACTTGGGCTTGAAATGAAATTGATTTTAATTGAAATAAGTATGTTAATGGTGAAGCCGGGGCAGAGCTTTGTTATACTAATAAATGAAAAGTGCAGAGTTGCATGTTATGTAGCTATTAAAAGCTCACAAAAACATTTTACTTTTAAATATAAAAACTTTTGGAGTAGTGCTGAAACTTTCTTTAAGTTGTTTGTTTCCAAAGGCCTTAAAAAAATATATATAGATCAAAATATTTTTAAAATAATGTTAAAATGTATAGTTATTTATTTTGGGAAATCTTTAGCTTTAGTTGATTCGGAAAAACTCCTCCAAATATATTACAAGATTATAATAGCTTAAAAGGTGAAATTGACAAAAAAGCTTTAATTTTGTAAAGAGTTTTTTTTTGTTATATTTATTTTAGTTATTAAAATTGTAATTTTTTTTCTTTCTAAAATCAGCTGGCTGCTCTTAAGAAAGCTGTTAAGTGGAATTTATATTAAAAAACAGTTTCAAAGTTACAGTTTTTTTTTTATGAAAAGCTTCAGGCAATACAACAAAAGCTGATCAGAAGTTTTTAGTTTTTAGTTACAACAAAAGCTGATCAGAAGTTTTTAGTATCATTAGCACTTCACTTTAGTTCAAACTTTAAGCTGGTGTCATTGTGACATTAAAGAAGATTTTCTAGTGTGCACATGGCTTATATATATAATATTATTCTAGTGTGTGTAGGTGTGTGCATATTTCTTGTGAATTTAATTGTAAATAAACCAGAGAAAGAAAAGGAGACAGAGAGTGAGAGAGAGAGAGAGAGAGAGAGAGAGATAATATAAGGAACAAAATGGGAATAAATAAAGCATTTAAATTTCTTGAATTGAACTCACATGTTATTAATTATAGTACACATTGTATGCATTTATGTATATGTATGTGTGTTTTTATAATTAATTAATTATTATTATAATYGTTATCAATTTTTGAGATCACACAGCAGCAGCACAATGAGAATCAATTTGTATCAGATTGATTAATTTACTTATATCATCGATGAAAACATAAATCAAACAAATTGCAAAACAGAATTTAGCATAGATTATTGTTTAACAATAAATTGTTGTTTCTATAATTAGTTGGTTAACGCTTGTTAATTGTCATCTAAACATAGATACGATAGGGCATGAATTTGGAATAGAGTTAGAGATACGTGGACAGAGTTAGTCGGATAGGGTGCGTTAAATAGAAGCTGCGAATTACACAAAAATTAAAAACTTAACTCGATTGATGTGTGTTGGGATTATCTTAGTTGATTTTTGATTTGTTTAATGAGTACTTTGGAGCATTTTGATGCAATTGATGTTTTAATGGCTTGGTGCTTGATAAGCAAAATACCCTATGAAAAATATAAAACGAAACATGAATAGCATTTGCATTTGAAAACAATTTGCTTTTTGAATTTGTTGTGAGTATTTTTGTCGTTTTTTTTTTGTTTAAGTCTTTTTATCACTTTTACCTATATTCGGTTATGTTTTTTAATAATCGCTCCCAGTTTTCAGAACTGAAAAGTTTATATATATATAAAAATTATTATGAAAGAAAATGATAGAGGTACAGATAAAAAAATGTTGAAAAATTAAGTACGCTGAAACTGAAATTGTTAATCGATAGACGAAGTAGGGATCATTTTGGTTTTATATATTTCGATTTTTGGTTTGTTCTTGTAGGGTTATGTGGATATTATTTAGAGTGTATCATATAAAAATTTAGTTAATGCACTTGGTAGTACGTACACACTACACACATGCTATGGACCTTGGGTGTTGTCTAAATTGTATAGACTACAAGAATGATTATTTCTGCAGCGCCTTTCGCTGCGATTCTCATCAAATGTATTTACTGCAGTACGCACAACGTCTCTGTCACACTTTTTAAATACAACTCGGTGGGCTTGTTGTGTGTTGTATGTGTGTGTTTGTGTGTGTAAATAGAATAGAGTGTGGTGTGAATTTGTACAATAGGATTACATAAAATAACTCTTGATTGAAGAAGTTAGAAGATATGTGACGGAACTTTCTTAACTATTATTAAAATATTTTTGGAAATTATTAAACATGTTTAACTGGACTTAATCTATGGGAGAAAACTAAATAAACTGACTTAAAAAAAAAAAAAAAAAAAAATAGTCAAAATACATGAAAAGTTAAAAGTAAGATAGAATAAAAATATTTAGAAAAAAAAAAAATAATATGTCAAAAAAAAATCAATAAATTCAACTGAATGAATTACAAATTAGTTTAAATTATAATTAAATTGCTTATAATAATCATAGTATCACATAATATTTCTGTATATTTATAAATAAATTAAATAATTATAACTTGCATTTAAGACTTAAATTAATTTAACTAAAACTTAAGCAAATGTAAACCTAAAGTCTAGTTTTTGATGTTGTAGAACTCAAGAGTTATTTCATGTAGCTCATAATGCATAATTGCAATTGTTGCAATTGTCAGGTGTTGCAGGTATCAGGTAGTCTAGTTTACACTTGTCTATTGATTTTTTGCTGTAAATCCCTGAATAATTGTTGTATGCTAAGTGGGTGGGCAGTGCTATGCCCATGTCAGAGACTCTAACTGTGAATTGTGTGGGTTGGGTGGAAGGGGTAGTGTGTACTTACGATGCGGGCGGACTTGGCAGCGCCACCTGATGTATCTTCCAGGTGGCCACGGATACGGAATGCTCATCGGCCGCATAGCAGCGCCAAACGGCTTGAATGAGCGTCGCCGCCGGCTGGCGACGCCGTATCATGTGCTTCTGGCGCTGCTGCTGCTGCACCTTCAACGCAAAGCCGCTACCCAAAATGCCCTGCAATAAGTGAATTCAATGGATTGGCATGGATGTGTGAACAAAGAGAGAATGATGGAGATGATGATGATGTCGATGATGATGATGATATTCGGTTATTTGGTAGACGATATTCGGGTGTCCGGCCTTCGGTGTCCAGAGCATGAATTAACGATAGACTTACCGCAGGTAGCGCAAAGAACGAGATGCCCAATAGGGCACAGCACGAGGCAATCAATTTGCCCTGCCAGGTGATGGGCACCATATCGCCATAGCCGACGGTGCACAACGTTATCTGGGTCAAAGTTGAATAATTCAAATACAGTTGCAGTTCGTTTTATTGCTCTGCTCTCTTTTGGTTACATACCACGCCCCACCACAGCGCCTGGGCGAAATTGCTAAACTTTTCATTGACGTCCTTCTCCCACATATAAACTAGGAATGATGCAAAAATAAGACCTAAAAATCCAATATACATGGTTGTGATGAGCTCCTACAAAAAAAAAAAAATAAAATAAAATAAAGTAAAGTACAGAAGTAAATCCATATTTTACAAACTGCCTTTAACATGCATGTTAAATTCAATGCCTACCTGTCTATGTGCGTATACAACTGAACCGAGCAGCTTCCAGGTGCCACCGCGTCGATCCATGCGCACCATGCGCAGTATCTGAAAGAATCGTAAACCACGCAAGGCGCTCGTCGCAAACACCTGGCCAGAGGTGCCCATGCCTAATACTACAATTGAGGCTAAAATGGTGATAATATCTGGAGCAGACAAGTAATCCCATTAAAGAATATTTAAGGCAATATATTATAAATATATCTCACCTATAATACAAAATGGTTGCTTTATAAACTTAAGGCGTCCCAGCGTGCCCTGATAGCGCGATCGGCAGCCGGACGACCAAAGGCGCGCTCCAAACTCCATGGTAAACCAGATGACAACTATGATCTCCATGCGAAATAATATATATACAGCATCCTCCTCATATTCCTTGATGGTGGAAAACACGCTCAATGCGAGACATGTAAACACCATCAGAAATCTATAAAGAGAAAATATTATTAAAATATAGAATATTAACCAAGCAGAGGTCTAGACAGGGAAAACTAGTCAGTATTAATTATGTTATGCCTGCTAAAGTCAAAAACGAAAAATCATTTATATTGTTTTAAGGCAATAATTTGATTTAATGAATGATTTAATGAAAATGTTTTTAAAAATTCTATTTAAATTTTTTTTTTAATTTATCCTTTGAATTTATATTCTTTTTTATT